TATATATATATATATATATATATATATATATATATATATATATATATATATATATATATATATGATTTTTATGTGTAGAAATGTTTACTTGCGCTCCAACTATTAGAAGGTGTCTCTGGGTGCGGCCCGTTTAACGCAAGTGCTTCCAAGCGTCTTTTTATACACGGAGTTTAATGATGTCATTATGTAGATAGAATGCTTTGAAGCGTGTAACGGACCCTGCCTCATGAGCACTTATGACATATTGGCAATATTAGCGTACATGTGCACACACACGTACACACACATGTACGAGACGTCGTCACTCTATTGAGTAATTTTATAATTTCTTACTGCCAATCTCGAGTATTTCTTTATTTATGTGGCGCGATTGTATATTTTACACATAAGCCTTAAACAATTGCCCGAGATATATTTATTTATCTCATAGTACGAAGAGGTAATTCTCATATAAGGAAAGTCAGTGTACTGTCGATGTTGTCGCGACGTGACGCGCGATCGTAAGGATTCTGTGTACGAGAACCAGTGTATATAAATTATTAAAATACAATAAGTCACTGCGTACTCTCTACATCTTTCTCATTCAAACTTGTCCGTTTTGTCGCGTAGTTGTTGTCTTAGCGTCTGCATCGGAAATCTTAAGTATGAGATAAACACATTTATTATTTCTTCATACACTATTAAATATAGTATTTTGCGGCGACGCTAGATGAATAAGTGTTAGAAGGTAATTTTGATTATAATTATAATAAACAAGGTATACAGACAAAAGGTTGGAAGGAGGAGAGAAGGAAAGAAAGGTAGGAGGGGCGAGAAGGGGAGAAAGAAAGAAAGAGCAAAGAAGGGTGAGAACATGTGAACATGAAAGATACCATTTATTTATAATTTATAAGAACAAACAAGAGTAAATTTTTACGTAGGAAGGACACTTTGAGTAAAACACATTTACTAACCGTTACAGTGTTCGAACATAAAGAAGGAGAACGAATATAACCAAAAAGACAAATAACCAGCTTTGCCGATCTCCTATAGGCTTCGCTCGAACAGTATATCACGCTCGTAACGCTTTAAACGGCCTATCGGAATTGCTAAACGTCTCTCTCAAAGCGAAAGCACGGTCATCGTGAATACGTGTCTCTTTGCTACTTGACATTCATACGTGTATACATATATCATATTCTTTTATGTATATATTTGTGTGTGTATACATATACATACACATGCACACATATATATATACATGTATTCTAGTGAAAAAAGAAAAGTAACGAACTTCGGAGGGACGCGTTAGAGAGACATGCCTCCTTCTCCCCCACGTAACTTACCCTTCGTCTACATGTAATCTATCGCCAGATGAGCATTTAATAAACTAGTAAAGTACAAACAAGAGTCCCATACGCGCGCAAGAGGATACATTAAGCTCAGGTTTACATACTTACGTCTACGCTCTTTATCTTCTTTTTTTTTTTCTTTTTCTTTCCTTTCTTTTTATGAAAACGTGATCCTTGGTACGCCCAATCACGCGTCACACAAATCGTGCTAGCCACTCTTTCTAATTCGGAGAGAATATCGTCGTCGCGTTTCTCAATGAACCATCTAGCAGAAGCGTTGGCGCGGGGGACGACGCGCCGCGAGAAGTTCACGTCGCACGTGACATTTTCGCCGGGTGTCGGCGAACGATCGTCGCGCGAGCGGCTGAATGTGCAGAGCTGTTGGACGAAACGAGCCACCCTCTGCTTCGTCGATGTAACGCGCGCGCGATCTGTGATGATCGATCGATCGATAGCGGTAATCTCTCGGGGGATCGATCGCGCGCCAGCGCCGACGACACGGAAATACGTATAAAAGTACGTGCGCGTAGAAACAAAAGTCTAAGAGCTCTCCAAGTGGTTCGCGTCGCAGTACATTGGCGCATTTCGATGTAAAATTAAGTTCGCTCCTCGACACTCGACGTGTGTGAAAGAGAGAGAGAGGATAGTAAGAAGTGACGTCCCCTCGTACACTACGTATGCACACACACTCGTGTGTCTCGGAACTCGCGCGGACCTGACAGGTAGTATAGAAAGGGGAATGGAAGGAATGCGCTGTCGACGTGTTTGGTCGACGGTATTTGTCAATTCAGGAGGTAGTCCTTGCTCCTTCGTTTGCCGCCGCTATCGAGCCTGCGTGCAGCGGCGATCATCTACATCTCGCGGTCTCACCGCCGCCGATATCTCCGTTTTATTCCCCAAATGTCGGGGTGGCGCTTTTTCTCTCGTCGACGTCGTCGGAAGAAAAGCACCTGGACCTTGGCGCGGCGCGCTCAAGTCCGTCTCTCGCGTTTAACAAATAGTACATTCTATTTAGAAGAAGGGTAGATTCGCACGTTGTATAAAAGAAGAGTGCATGTAACGAACGACGTCGCTCGTCGCGCCGGCGTGTAGATCTTCGCCGCTGCGCGGGATCAGACAGACCGAAATATAGACGTAGGAATTTCTCTTGTGATCACTCTTGCGCGTACGTGTGTGTACCGCGATTGAGCCCATGTAGAATGGTCCACGTTTCTTTTTTTTTTTTCTTCCTTTCTTTTTTCGTGCTTCTGGGCCTACTACTCTCGGGCCGAGAGCGGCACGGGACGCGCAGGACGCGTGCCGCTCACGGCGCGGAAATGAAACGATATATAGTGTTGTTTGAGCAAGAATCTAAGACATCCCTCTTCCCATTTCAGTTAGCGAGCTAAGTCTACGCGATTGATATTAACGCTTGTTGTGCGTGGGTGCGTGCGTGCCGCTCCGACGTCGTTCGCGGAAGATAGTTGCTTCGCGCGGAGACGTGCGCATGCTCGAGATGTCAAATGGTTTTGATGACCAACGAGGGCGCGTGAACAACGTGGTATTGCTCGTATTAAGTTGACGCGCAGATCGTCTATTAAATTTCACATTAAATTATTATCAATTGTTAAATTATCGAGATTTTCCTTTTTCTAAGGTGAGGCTGAAAAGTAGATGAGGAAAGTATGAGAGTCAATGTATATGAGAGGTAAGTATTTTGTTTGCTACGCTTTACTTTGTGTACGAATCACGTTGTTCATCAATGTTACTTGACAAATGACATGATTTTTTAAATCTCTTGTATGTATGCAAGTATGTGCGTGTATTCGCACAATATTATATTGTGATGTAATATTATTTGTCACGACACATTGAGCTAGAGATGCACGATTCCACGATTCCTTCTTACGTGCATGCTGATCAACAATTCAGCTCATTGCGTAAAATCGCTATCGTACATCGGAAGGTGAACTATGCGGTGAACTGAACTGTCAGCCAACATGCGACAACATAGAATGCATGTGAAAAGGCGTGAAATCGCGCATCATGTTTTTAGCTTTGGACGTGTGTTTGATTTTGGATTCTTTGCGCACGTGCTCGCACGGCCACGCGAAAATCCATCGTGAATAGGCCGCGACATCGGGAAAACGGACAAGAAGGAAAGCACCGAGAGCGAGGGAAGCGTCGATTCTCAACTGAGAAAAGGAACTCTTCCGAGATCTTCGAAGCGGCAGCATCGCGTCACGCATATCGCGATCGGAGAAAACGGATCTCCCGCCCTCCCCTCCCCCTTTCCCCGGTCGATCGAGATTCCGATCGGATTTTTACAGCCTTGTATGTAGCTCAATATAATTTGCCCGCGTCAAGACGAATACGATAGGTACAATATAGTATTATTGACAATCATTACGGTGGATCCTACTGTCAATAGACATACATATATATATGTATTTATATACATATATACATGCATATATATATAAATGTATGTATGTATTTATGTATATATATATATTTATATAATTAGGTACGCTTTGTGCAAGGTAATCGTTGTATGACAAAATGTAGGATAGTGACTTTCACACGTTCGAAAGACAACCGCGCCTTTGAATGATGGCGTTTTATCTTTTGCGACGAGATTAAACGAGAGGATCCGACTCGTGTGTCTCCGATATATATATATATATATAGGTGTGTGTGTGTGTATGTATGTGTGTGTGTGTGATGTATATAAAGGTTTTCTACCACAGCCCATTTAACGATATATCATCCACGTATTATATTATAATAATATTATTACGCTGTTGTAATACGTACGGTTAGCGTCGTACGATCTGTAATATCTCAGTAATATACACTGAAACGTAACACGTAAAAAAATCATTAATTAGTTTTCCTATTCTCGCCTTCCTCGCGTTCTACGCGTCCAACCCGAGAGGAGAGAGAAAGATACTTTCGTATCTCGTTTTCTTCTATTTTTTTTCGTTTTTCAGTTCACTTTTCTTCTACTTTTCGGTAGACACCGCTATCCACATTTCGCGTCGATAGCGCAGACATGCCACGCGAAAAACGGACGATCGTTCGTATATATTGATATCGTATTTTGAAGTATCGCAAATACTCTAGAACGGGACGAAGAGAAAGCGTATGTCCGACACGAGAGTCGAAGTGTCCTCTATTTTTTAATGCATTTTCCACCTTTCTTTTCTTTTAAACCTCATCTCCTTTTTTTTTCTCTCGTTTTTAACTTTGCTTTTGGAGGATTGTCATTTGTTTCGATAATAACGCGCGGTAGATCTCTCAGTTATAAATCACAGCCTAGAAGCATTGAAGTTTCACGGAAAACCTCGAGAGTTCGCACTTAGCAAATCAGCCGATTGTATTAGACGTTATGTTTTACAGTAATCGATATAGACGTACAGAATGAGGCAGACAAAGCGTTACGAAGATTATGCTTCCGGAAGGAAGGGTTTTAGAATAGAATCACAGGAGAGTGTCCGGAGAACTGTGTCGTTCCTAGGAAACAAAAATCGCGATTATTCTCTCGAGTGAATGTTTCTCTCGTGATAAAATTTGTCAGGCCGAGTTCAGCGGTAGATTTTTTTTTTCGCTCTCCTTTCTTTTGGAATTTTCAATAGTCGCGCAAGCCTCTCTGATATTTTTCTATATACGTGCGCATCAGCGAAAACGCATCCACGAGAGCTGAGTAACTTTCGTGGAGTCGACTCGTAACGATTCACATGACACATTCTGCACATGTATATGTCGTACACAGGCGTGTGCAGGACAATTCTTCCTGTATACGCGAGCGTAAGGGCGTTCGATATCGCGCCGACAGGGATTTCTGCGATTTGTGATACGCACAAATATATCGTGTAGCCGCGCGAATAAAAATGCCTTCGTCCGACTGCGAAAGATCACAAGTGGCGAGGAGAAGTAGCGTGATGATGGAAAGAGTGGGCGAGAAGAGCTACTCTATCTGGACAGGACGACAGGAGGACCGAGACCGACGCGTGGAGTTTAGTCGGGTCCGATTTTTCGACGCACAAATGCGATCTCCGTTACTTATGCGAGCGACGATCTGATGAACGCGACGATGAACTCGGACATCGTTTCACGTGTACTCGTCGAACAACCGAAACTCGCTGATACCGTGCCAACTCAGACAGCACAAGATCTCCAGAGAATGTCTTGCAGACGTTCTCAGAACGTCTTTAAGAACGTCCCGTGGAGATTTGTGCTGTTTGGGAACATTTTCGAATCGAGTTAATTGGTGCTCTCCCCTCAGTGACGATTGGAACCAAGAATGCCGGTGAATCAAACACGCCGGATTAATATGCGTACACACGGAATCTCGTGGGTATCTTTTCAGGGGGGAAAGAGAGGGGGAGGAGATGGCAGAGAACGAGCGCGCGCGTTTTTTTCTGATTTTTTTTCGCGATATGTCGAGGTACTGATAAATCCGTCGCCCGAGTCGCCGCGCTTAAAAAAAAAAAAAAAAAGAAACTAATCACAGATGTGTGTGTCGCGGAAGAGGAGGACGATGATAATTTCTCGATAACTATAGCGAGATGACAACGACAATGATAGTGATGATAATGATGATGGTGATAATGATGACGACGACGACGACGACGACGATACAACAATGTTACACGTAGTCGACAGGATTAACGTTGACACACTTACAACATGTCATAATGAAGACACGGAAATCATCCTCGTGGACGTCGATAAGAACGAAGGAAACGGGTCGTTGACTTCTGACCTCTGACCGCGTGTGTCATTTTCGCATCGCTCGATTTCCAGCCAATTTCCATCCGCGAAATTCGTGCTCGCGCTCATTCGTTCGTTCGTTCGTTCGTTCGTTCGTTCGTTCGTTCCTTCCTTCCTTCCTTCCTTCCTTCCTTCCCTCTCGTCTTTCCTTCGCTCTTGCTCCATCGCGCGGAAGTACGATCGCTTTACTCCTTTTTTTTAGTCCTTCACCCATAGAAATCTTACGATTAGACATATAAAAATAACACTTGCGCGCTAACACACACACACACGCGCGCGCGCACATATACACACGCGCGCATACGTACCTGCGGAATCTACCGACAGATTCGTTTTATCGATATACTCGTTATCGGCGCTTTTCACGAGCCACGCGACTGCAAGCCCCGTCGTTCGTTTGCGCGAAAACATCGAGAGAGCCGACGTGGGCTCTTCGCAACGACAGACCTTTCGATACACCTACTAGTCGCTCTTAACGCTACGTTCGAACGCGAGGAAACGAAACGAGAGGACACGTGCGGGGCGATCGACGCTTTCGCTGATCGAGGCGTCCCTACGGGGTAGCCGCGTTTCATCCCCATGTGAGAAGCAACGGAGCTTCCTCTTTCGCGAAGCGCTGAACTGTCGCGCGCTCGTGTTGCCGCGCGTATCAGCACACGATAGCGCGGGACGTTCAAGTCCCGTTCGAGTTACGCTTGAAAGAAACACGCTCGAAACGAAGAGTCCCCCTAATAAGTTCGCACTAAACGTCACAGCTAATAAAATACATTGAAGACATTGATATGTACAGTCGGCGTCGGAGCGGATACGTACGCTTTTCGTGTCGCAAAAGTGCTTCTCCCTTTTCTCTCTCTCTTCTCTCCAATTTATTTCTACATCGATCGAAGGTAGTGATGTAATAGCGTGTCATCGAAACGTTCCGCACGCATACTAATGCACTCGCCAAAAAGGGGATTTCACATGAACGATGCAACGGCAGAAGCGCAGGCAACGCGAGTGTCTATGAGACGCCCTAACGCTCGTATCGGACTATTGAAGATTGCAATCGGATCAGTCAAATAAAGTAAAATTAAGATTTAGATTGTTTGATTGGTCCGACTGCAATCTTCAATCCATAATCTGATACGGGAAAATTAGGGCGTCTTCAGACAGTCTAAAGACAAATCCGAATCTCCGAGCACGTGCACACTCAGTTGCAAAACGATTTTCACACTTTTTCTTCAATGAAGTTGCAGCTCAAGATCGTTATCATTGCGAGCCACAATCGAACAATTTATGCAGCGATTGGCTAACCAATTACTGCGTAAATTCGTTAACAGATTCACAATTGCGACAATTGGAAGCAATTTTATCAGGAAAAAGTGTGAACACCGTTTTGCAACTAAGTCTATATACATTTTCGTGTCACCTGTCACACAAAAAGCGTCTCTCCGATGATTCCAACACCGACTGATACAATCTACGCGGCTATCGGAGAATTTCCAGCTACGACTATTCGGGAAATACGCAAAGGATCTCGCCGTGCGCCGTTCTTTTGGTCACAATCGCGCCACGGAAGTGCACGCGTAAAAAGTCGTGGGACTTAATCTTGCAGAAACGAACGCTTAAACGAACATTGTATCCACCAACGGACAGTAAGAGCCGAGTTGCAGTTTTCATTCGCGTACGCTCAATAAATCTTACGTTGTATCGGCAATGTCGGAATTTTGACTTGAATTAAAGAGCCTTCTGTTCGCAAATTATCGTGACTGAACGTTCAATTGTCGATCGCGATCGATCTCGGTGAGACCACGTCTCGTATCGCGGTTCGTAATGTGTAAAAAAAAGCACACAGCTTGCGTGCACGAGACCCATCGCGCGTCCCGTTCTCATCTAGGTACATTAGATATTATTGTAGCGTAATCGTTGTACAGTATTTCTTTTTTTTTCAATGGTCCGCAAACCGAGCACCTCCGCTCGATCTCGTCGACGAACTCTAGGCCGACCGGCCCCCGTTCGCGTCGCTCTCTCTCTCTCCCTTCTAACGCACATGACACGTCTTGAACGAGGTGATGTGACTTTGCGATTGTCTTTGTTTAATGCGACTCGCGAGCGAAAGAGAGTCGACGGCCTCGTCCGCGAGGAGTTCCCTCTGAGAGACGTGCCGTAAGAGGATCGGATCGCCCCGGCGCACTTAGAACCTTTGACCTTACACTATTAGGTTTTGTCAGGAGCTAATCTGGGCTAAGATTTCGCGATTGAGACGTAATCCTCAATCGTGAGATTTACCTTGGTCTTTGTATTTTCACTTGGTGTCGTATAACCGGCGCGGTCTGTCATTTCGCTTCCCCCAATCACGCGTCGCAGAGAAAAGCCGGGACTTTGATACGAGGAGGAAGATTGATTGAAGGCGAGAACGCGAGGACGGAGAGGATTACAAGTTCGATTCCATCGCTGCGAAGTTAATCTCGTCGGGGCGATCTGATTGTGTCTTACGGTGCGTTTCGCGCGATCAGCGTCACGTCGACGAGTTTAATCGAGGATTTTCAGTGAACCTAACGCGCTAAATCCGTACAAGTGGCATCGTCGCGAGATACAAATACTCAGCGAATAAAAACGGCTTACTATAGTCGCGAGTACGTGTCTCTAACAAGACAAACGGCTAACGATAATCTACGCGCGAGTTGCGTCACTCTTCACCGCTTGCTTTCTTTTTCTGTCTTCGCGTAGGCATACCTAGTCACCTAACTATGTACAGTGGTATGCCATGTAAAATAAGCGGCAATGTGTTGCGAGTAATAAGCCGACCGGCAGGCAAGACAGCATCATTCCTCACAGACGGCCGTGTGAGAGTCGAACGCTTTCGTTTTCGCTTCGCGTATCACGTGGAAGTTACACGCTAAAGTTGCTTAATTATCGACCCTGATGAATTCGCGGCGGGGATCGAAACCGACGTAATCTCTCCGGCGCCGTGGACGAGCGAGGTCAGGGACCATGTTTCGTCGCGTCTCGTTCCTTTCACGAGTGCACGGCAGTTTCGCGCGATTGTTATCGCCCTCACGCGACGCCGGATCTACGTACGAAAATCAGCGATCTCGATCCCCGGATTAACGCAACACTACAAACGAGAGAAGTAACAACGAACAACACGACGGAAGGAATTGCTCGTGGCAGGGAAGTGCGTGACGTCGAATTTCGCAGTTATAATCGCCTCTAACGTCGCCCAAACGATCAGGAAGCTTCGTGACCTGAGCTTGCTCGCGCGCTACTTTGTAATCGTATCTAGGGCCGATAATGCGCGATCTGATGAACCGTCGATTCGCAAATCCTCGCGGACTACGCTACGTTCTATCTATTGCGCTCTACTTTGTTCGGTTAGACGCGATTTCCGACACGATCGGAAAAATAAGTGCGGTTGTCGACCGATCACAGAGCTCAGACGTTAACTCTGCAATAATGCCTCGGTTTTTCCTCTTTGGACAGAGATTGCAGAGAGAAAGAAAGAAGAAAGATAAAGAGAGAGAGAAAGAGAGAAAAGAGAATGAATAAGAGAGAAAAACCGAGGGAGAGAAACAAAGAGAGATTCACATATCATCCCTTAGCTTATCTAAGAAGCTCTCGATATATTCTCCTATATATTCGGTCAGCGATCGCGCAGAGTCGCGTGCGACGTACAGGCCAATGGACTTGTTTCCTTTGCTATCAAAGCGCGGGAATAATTCCTATAACACGCATACATATAAATCTATAATATATCGACACATGTGTATGTGTATGTTGTGTGTAAGTTCACGTTTATTTACTGTATCCCACTTGTATGTATACCGCATTATTTTTCGATAACAGACTCGATGTAATTTGAAGACAATTATTCTCTCCATGAAAATATCAAGATTCTCAAATAAATGTACAATTATTGAACAGAAAAGAGAGGCTTTCTAACAAAACTGCGCTCTCTTCAGAAAAGAAAATAACCAAATCGTATTTTGCGCTTAAATTTGAGTAAACTCCGACAGTGTTTTATACACGCACACATATATATATATATATATATATATATATATATATATATACATATATATATATATATATATATATATATATATATATATATATATATATATATATATATATTCTTAGAGATTTAATAGCAAATATATTCAATTTTGAACATATAGAATTCAGCAACAGTGCGATGAATAATGATCAGCCTTGCAACTCGACTCCAAATTAGCCAGAAATGATCCCTCATTGAAAAATAATACGTTTCAAGTGCGACACACACTGTGTACATTTCGATAACATCATATCTCGACTTTCGTTTCGTAATTATTGCGTTGTCGCTCGCAATGTTTTACCCGTCTATATTTTACACACATTCGTCCTCTATGCCGAATACATATAAGATTATAATACGCGCATAGTCGGCGCACGATGCTCAGTCCGTGCGCCAATCAATAGAAATTGTCATTTCGACACGGCGCTATTTATTCCTGCTTGCTCGATGGAACGAAAGCTTCTTCGGATATTTACACGCTGATCTCTAACTGCTATTGATATCCAAGGTACGGGGTGTTGTGGTGTCAGTGCGAAAAATTCGGGAGTTATGTTAAGCGAACAAATAGTGAACCTACGTATAATAAACGGTAGCCACGCTAAAACATATGATACGATAAATTCGTAGTGAGCAGCATAGCACGAGGCCCCGCGACTTCGGTTTCGCCATACCTAGACTTAATTAATATTAATTAGGCAAGTTTAAGCAGAGGTGTGTTACCTAGCTACTAGGAAGAACAAAAAAATACACCACAGACCGCCGAGTAGTCGACAAGGAGCTCGATGCTATGTGTCGCCCGACTAGTAGTTAACACATAAAACATCTTTATATCATTTAGTAACAATACAATTAAAGTAAAAACACTAAATAATCACATAAATTAATTACACAAGATCACGTACGGACACGCACGTGGAAAAACTGAACATAGACTCAACTAACTCAATAATTAAAAAAAAAACAGAATTCGATAAAAAGAAAAAAATTAGAAAGGTAACAAACTCGTTAAAATTTTCCCTTTAAATATTAGTCAACAAATCTCAGTTTTCAGTGTATAAATACTGATCGTTCACGAAAGCTCCTGTCACTTTACAACTGTCAAAGCCACGACCAAACGATCAGTGGTCGCATTGATCAACCATGCGTTCGTACGTAGTTTACAAACGAGAATCGCGAACTGACGCGAGTCACGCGCACCGCGAGAAGACGTCGGCAAAAAGGAACAATTAGAAAAGTAACTCACACACGCAATATTGCACTATTGCACCAGCGACGACAGCTTCGTGAACGTGTTGCTCGTGCGATTAGAAACACCGCTATCGACTAAATACGCTAGCTCTTCGTAAGCGGCTCAGAAATACTTTCACGACATCTATCATAACGGAGGAGATTCGCGACCGCTACGATGATAGAGAGAGAGAGATATGAATTTCGATACCATGTATCCAAAATTCGTATTATGGCGAGCGCCCGCTCGCGGAAGGGTACGCGTTCATCCGAAAGCTTCGCCTTAAGTTTCTCTCTATAGTACACGTAACACGATAATGATAGTTTAGGAGTCTCACGCTTCTCGAACATTGGTCAGTTGCTTCCATATTTTCGGCCGCATTGTGTTACGATACCGCTTGTTCTCCTATTTACACATATAACGCACGCGCGGCACACTTAATATCTAAATACGGCTTCGCTGCGCGACGCGCACATATGTACATACATACATACGCAAACACATACGATACGCAGCGTGTCCTTGACGAACGGCAACTTCTTTCTAATAAGCTCGTAAGCACATAAATTTCCTTCTTTTCTCTCTTTCTTTTCCGTTCTGTCTCTCTCTTTTTCTCTATAGTTCCCTAAGATGATTTGGAAATAAGCTCTTCAATTGTCACTCTTTCTTGCAGCAAATATCTGGAAATAGACGATCGATAAATTTACGATTTGTCAAGTTGAGTGTGCACGTCGAAATAACTAGTCCTTGATGAGAGCTGATACATGACAAGACTGCTGATACATTTCGATAATTGAGAACGTTCCACGTTCCTTCGAATGCAGTTCTTTGGATAATTGCAAATCGTGAGAAGTGAGAGTGCCGTTTGTCAAAGACAGCCACACATACATATATCGCATCTGCCACTTGGAACAGGATTAACCAATGCAAATCTGATGGCTTCGAAGTATAAGAGAGAATACGTTTTGTCACACTTTCACGTTCATGCTTGTGTAATAACAACAAGAGTGTAGTAAGTTCGTTATAGTCGTTATAATCGTGAAGTATGGCTCAAATATATCTCTCTACTTAGAGTGCTAACTGCAGACTTACTCCACTCTTGCCTCGCATCTTTCAACGCTTGCTTCGCATGATCTCAGTCATGCTAGAATCACATTGTGATTTCGCTCCTATTTCGTAGCCACAGTATTTGGTTATCCTTTATAGTTTCAATATATTGATATGTGTGTGCATGTTGTGTGTGTATGTGTGTACGTGTGCACGCGCGCGGGTGTATGATGTATGTATGTATGTATGTATGTATGTATGTATGTATTTATTTGTGTTGGGTGTGTGTGTGTATGCGTGCGCATGTACATTTAAGTATTGAATATATATCACATGCAATTTAAACGGGATTGTCAAACACATATCTATGCTGTGTTTTCACATCTGAGGATGCAGCACTATGATAATAGTGTGTTTATAACACACTTTGTGTCCTTCCCGTGAAAGAGAGAAATGAATGATAATTGAGTGATCTTGCGTTATGAATTGTATCTTTATTCAAAACAGGAAAAAGCCAGATTTATGATAGGATATAATTAAAAGCTCTTATTCGCTCCCGAAAAATTTTTTGATAAGTTATTTTTTTTTTCATGAAGATTGAAGTTTACGCATTATCAAGTTATGAAAGAAGGAAGCTTCAGTCATTCGTCTAAAAACATGGATTCAAAACTATGTGCGCCTAAGAAAAAAACAAGTACTTCAATTTTCGACAAGTACGCAATGAAATTTCATAATTAAAAAAATAGAAGTCGAAAAAAAGCACGACGTATGACTTGACGCGTGCGCGAAAATTATTTCGTCATTCCAGTAAAAATTAAATGATACAAAATCTTCGTCGTTAATTAATATCCACTGAAACACGTTGCGAGAATGTCAACATGTAAATGAATGTTACGTACACATGTATAGAAATGAGTGTGGTCTTAATGTCATTGTGCGTATACTTGTCGATGTAATGCAGTCACACTTCGCGTATGTGCGTGTCATGTATGTATCTTTTGTATTCGTGAGAGTAAGAATACATCCGAAACGATGTCGGTAACGAAAGGTTTAGTAAGAGAAAACGGGGCACACTTGAACACCGCGAGACAAATTTGAAAAAATTTTCAAATATCGTGCACAAGCTTCTCCCGAGTATATTGCTTCTTTGATTGATCCTTTAAACTTAATCTACAATGTGTTCTTTACTTCCTCTTACTGTTCGTTACTTTCTCTTTATCTCTTTCTGACTCAAACCCGAAAACTTGACCTACAATGTGTCTTTTTGCTTCCTGTCTCTTGTTCTATATCCTTTTCTGGCTTATGGCATAAGATGTACATTAGAAGAAGATAAAGAAAAAGAAATAGGAAACAAAGAGTACATTGTAAATCAAGCTTCAAGCCTGATCTACAATATGTTCTTTGCGTTCTGTTTCTTGTCTTTTATCTTTTTCTGGCTTAAAGCTTAAGGTTTGAGTCATAAAGAGATAAAGAGAAGCAAAGAGCATATTGTAGATCAGACTTAAGTCTTAAGTTTTTTGTTCTTTAAAAGAACAAAAACAAGCAGAGTACATTAGTAGATTAGACTTTAACGTCTGTTACATCTACTGAGACCCTCTACTGAGATGATATCCCTCTTGAGAAGCACAAAGAACGTCGAACATTTGATATCGTATGATTCCTCTCGGCGCGAGATATTTAAGTCGTTTGTCAAAAATGCACTCTACTGTTTTAGTGCGCCCTGCTCTTTTCTCCCGCTATCAACATTTCAATATATATATATACATGTAAATGTAAAGCTCGCGTTGCATGCGACTTAATTGGCATGGCACTTATACCTCACGAGATATTCAAGTTCTAAGACATCTACTACCACATAATGGGTCACACATTCAAGGAAGGCCACATTGAGCTAATCTAACGAGTTACTGCCGAACGTCTTGAACGAGTATATCGGCTTAGTATTTTGCCTATCTATCTCGTTTAACTTAAGATACGTGTACAAACGAATAATTGTACGAAGAACGATATCTCTAAAAGGATGTAATACCATCTGAGCAATCTCGTTCTTGTTGCGAGTTAATGAGTCGACGATTTCAAAGCTAGCGGCTGCTCACCGGTTTAAACACGATCGATACCGCTCCGAGTTTATCTCCAACAAGTGTCAAAGAAAAGGCAACATTCTCCCACTTTTTCTTCTTTTTTGACACATGTGATAGAGATAAACGACAAAGGATGGGCAGTCTAGCGAAACTCTCTCGCATCTAAATCGGTGTTTTCGAAAAGCTAAATCGGTTACACCGCCGATAAGCGTTAAAATACGTACAGTAGAAAACTATGGAATTATTAATAACCTGTAAAAAGTTGCGCACATTCCACGTTTCTGAGTTTTATGCTTTAGTTTTTTTTTTTCTTGTGTATGTGTGTGTCTGTGTATTTGTTGTGTGCGTGGTGGATGTGTATCCTTTATTTCGCACGTAGCGATTCTTATCGCGAGTATCGCGAGTGAAAGTTTTGAATTTAATGGGCGGCATTTTGTTTCAACGGTTAAAACAACAATCACGTAAACACCAGCAAGTGCTTCTCATGAACGTAATGCTATACGTAAGTAAAAAGCTGCTGGACTCGCCTCACTCTTTTCTAGCGCTTCAAGATGAGCGATACCAAGTGAACTCGGCGCAATTTTGCTAGGTATTGCTTGAATAATCGTTGATACCGTCTTTCGGTTGACTTTCGCTCTGTCTTATTTCGAGTACCGGATCCTTGGAAGTCTCGACGACCTTCTTTTCCACGTCTAAGTCATAAAGTAGCGTGGCCTGGAGCGCATTATACATACCGGTCCGCGCGTATCGCGATGCCTTCGTCAATGCGTGCACACTCCCAGCCAAAGTCAAAATATCTAAACACACAGATACATATACATTATAAACATCACGAGGTAACGATGTGATATCAAGCTTACAATTGTACTAAAATGACTGAGCTACGAATAATTAATGATTCATTTATACGCAAATTCAACGTCAGTCGCGACACTCACCATTGTCGTCATACGCTAAAATGCAATGTGGATTCTCTTTTTGACGTTTGATAGCATTCGCGATCTCTTGCTTGCGACAATCTTGAACGAACTTGATAGCTTCCAGCCAATGTTCCATAGCTTTGTGCACACGTTGATTCATCGTGGTCCCGCGTAAACGTTCCATCTGTTGTACACAATAACAAAATATCAAGTGAAAAGTTGCACATGTATACGCAAATCATATATAGGATGCAATCGCAAACTCGCGGTACAACCATGCGAGAAAAGTAAAAGAAATAGAATAAAAAAAATATAAGACAGAAAATTAGAAAGATAGAGACCAATAAAATAAAAATAAAGAAATGTACAAGAAATGATTTCCTTATACGAAACTTTTTCATGAGCTGTTCCATTCCATTCGCTCCGTGTACAAAATATAGCAAAGTTAAACGATAAAGCAGATCAATTTATAATGCATAGCCTATGTAGTACAGGTAGAAGCGTATTTTCGCAGATACTATTATTTATTCACCTTCGCTATCAATGTGATAACACGAGCGTGCTCTCTCAAATAATCGATCACCAAACGATCCACTCTCGATGGATTTCCTTGAGGACGTGGGATAGGTATGTTATTTGCGCTGGTCACTCGTTTTCCCGGGAAGTGTGCTGCCAATCCGGCCTCACACTTCTTGCGCTCCTTCTCCAGTTGCTTGAATTGCTCGTACGTTTGCTCGAGATTAAAATGCAATATACTCGAAGGACCGGTCTTTCTAGCTGCGCTACTGGCACTGTTTCTGAAACTCAGACTTCCTCCATAAAGCGTAGAGAATAGCCGTGGTACAGGATGAAGCGGGACAGGGACAGGAACCGGCATCACCGACGGGAATCCTCCCGATCTTACGGTGCTTGCGCCCGAAATCATTCTCGAGTTGAAGATGATATCCGGCGGCGGCATCCCAGGGGGAATGCTCTGTATCTTCGATATATGATGTTGCTTCATAATGTGACTGAAGGCTGCGTCTTTGTCCAAGGTGGATCCTGCGATGCGATCGGTCAGGTGACTTGCCGAAGGGAAGGCCATTTCTTTAGTCAGATCAAACCCGTCCAGCTTGTACGCGTTTAGCTTAGGCTGCTTCAAATCGTTGTGATAGAAAGTCGAATTTTGTGGCAATATCTTGAGAGTGTCGCCGCCACTGCTGGCAGTGTATTGTTGATAACTGTGACAGCCGTACTTAGCCATAGGCTGATACAAATTACGCGAGCTTATGTTCTTCGGGAATCCTATCGGTGAATACGTTTTAGTTTCGACAGACTTTGATTTTGGGCTGATCATCTTCAGTAAATTATTATCAATTCTACAGTCGCTAGAGAGGCAGACGTTCTCGTTCGTGTCTAGGTTATTAGCCGAGGATGCGATAAAATTATTTGTACCAGGGGGATAGTAATCGATTAAAGTTTTGTAATCTTGGTCCACAGCTTGATCCAATTTGTAGCTACTACGAGCTTGCGGCTGCAAGAACTGAATCGCCTGTTCGTTGGGTATGCTGCTAATACTCGTCATATTTAATCTAGCGCTGTCGTGAGCGTCCTTCGCGAAGTCGCCAATGTCATTACGTTGTATACTACTACCAAAACAGGAGTTCAGACTCGTCGTGTCGGCGGGCGAGAAATGCTGTAACGGCGAGGTCGACAGAAAAACGGATTCGGCGTTTAAATCAGTCATCGCCGAGCTCGGCCTGTACCCGAGACCCTGAGCGCTGTTACCGCTGATACTGTACATATCGTGCATGCTCACCATAGGCTGACTGCCATACGAATTGGACGACGCGCAACTTTGCCTCATGCTGGAATTGTGATACTCCAGCTCGTTCACAGGAACCGTCGAGTTCGGCGAGTCCAGGGCGAGAGTTAGCGCCACGTTGAAATTAAGATCAGGTTTAACGCAGCTCGGAATTCTCGAGTAATTCCCCATTAACTCACTCCTGCTGCAGCCCATCGAAGATGTCAGTAAGGGCTCTGTCCAGCCGCCGGACTGTTTACTGTAATTCACCTCGCTCGTTGTCGTGGTCGTCAGCAGATCGTTACATAGTGGCATGTTGCTTCCATTCGTATACATATGTCCCTCGTTCGAATGTGCGATATGTGATCGCGTGTTGGACGAATACGCGTTCGAAGGGAGCTCATTGCCACAGGCGTTACTTTGCTCCGTCGACTGCCCTATGCGTGCGTTCAGACTCAGTATATTAAAATCACTACAAAGATTGCTTGTACGATGGTACTCGCTCTTAACGTTGTTGTAGGTATTGTTTACTAATTTGCCGCTCGGATAACGAGCTTCTAAGTGATCTACGACATCAGTCAAATAACTGTCCAGACTGTCTCCGATTTGATTGGGGTAAGAATTAACAAACTCAGCAGTTTGGTAATGAGTATGCCCGCTGTTGTAGTTGTTACGAAAGGTATCGATGGTCATGGAATCTTCATCGAGAATCTTTGATACCAGGTCGTTAACCATTGGATTATTTAAATCCTGACTATCCTCGTCCTCGATATTCATCTAAATAAAAAGATTTTAGTGCTTGAGAGCTCAACAATACTGGACAATTTGTTACAGCAGCAATATTATACACAGTTAGTTGTGTACAGATTGTAATGCTTTTTTTGGACAAATTTATACATTACAATATTTACAGTTTTGCTTACATATTACTTTTGTGCATCTCATATTTCAAAGTTTTACAAAGTTTTACTAAATCTCTCAATAGGCCTATTCCTTTTAGCTGAACTAGTGTTGCACTGGAACTTTTTTCCTTTTTCCTACATAATTAGGACTATATGCTTTCAGTATAATGACAAAAAGTGTAATTTACTCCAGCTAAGAAGAACAGACCTAATACTCAAGCTCGTGTACAAATCACAATCTCATTAAGGAACACTATCCTCTAGTAAATCAGTATTTTATTAATAAAATCGCTTAAAACAAAAAAAAATTTTGCAACAATGTTAGTGAGATAAAACTTGTAAATGTCATAATATGTAATAGTTTTTTTAAGTTACCAAATATTTGAAAAATGACAAAATAAAAATTGTAAAATACTGATTTGATGTTAATACCAATTGTAAGAAAAAAAAAATGAACATATACTTACATATTATGTACCTATTATTATGTTTTATGATTATAGATGTTATGTTAAAATGAATAAACATATATATATAGAAATAATATAACTATATATATATATATATATATATATATATATATATATATATATATATATATTGTATGTGTGTGTGTGCGCGTGTGTATAGAAATGACATTATGAAAGTTATTTAAGATCTGGTACTAACTTATCATTTACATGATGTTAGTTAGAACCCGTAATGCTACAAATGCTTCAAAATGTTGAAAAAACTAATCAAATTGATTTATTTCACATTTAAAACATTGAAAATGTCAAGTAAACTTTGCCTATTGCCATAGGCTTGTTCTTTTTCAAAGAAGTTCTTGAACTAGTGTACATTGGTACAATAAGTTAGAGTGAAACAAAATATACTTGTTTCACTCCAGTTTATTGCAAAAATTCAGGAAGTTACTAAAAAAAGAACAAATCTCATATATTCACTCATATAGTCTACATATTTCACAAATATTTTCATTGGAATATTGAAATTTTCCTTCAAACTGATAGTAAATTTGTATACTTTACTAAAACACATACTTAAATATCCATTTCTTTATTATAATATTTTTCTAAATCTGTATCTGTATCTTGCGTACAAATATGTAAAATTTGAAGAAATTTGTTCTATTATAGATTTTGCATATACTTACATACTACAAATTTATAATATCTTAATGACAATATGCTAAAGATTATCGAAATTTCTGTTACATATTGCTAGTCTAATCAACTCTTGTATCATGTATACTAAATTTATCTTATGTTTGATCTCAAGTGTTTCAATCTCCTTAAATTCATGTGTTCATAAACTTGTCCAAAAAAGAAGGATCTCATCCTTCACGTCAACTGGGTTTCAAAACAATTTGAACATTCTTTTTACAATGCAATGCAAGTTTGATCTTATGGGAGAGCTTGTTTCTGATTAATTGTCAAATGTTAAATTCTTTCATTGGACTATTGGCAGCATTTCAAGCTGCATTGAAGAAAAATTGTTCAAACCATTTTAAAACTCAATACATGCTGTTGCATGTATATCTAGTGTAAGTAAATCTATAATAGAACAAATTTCTTCAAATTTGACATATTTGTATGCAAGATACAGATTTAGAAAAATATGCATTGTAAAGTTAGCCCAAAGTCCATGAAGCACTTGTGTTACTTACATTTCTCTTTGTGCCGCAACCCGTTAAGTCGTAGCTCCAGTGATTGTACTCCGAACCATGCAAGTCCCTTGAGTGTATCTTCCGTGGTACATCCAACATATTGGTGCTATGTTCGATCTCGTTATTCTGCACAGAGAACAATTGTCGATGTAGAATTTTTGGGCAAGTATAGCAATGCATGAGACAACGATACATAGCAATTTAGTGTCGTATAACCGAGACAACCAGCGATTAACTAAACCGCGAATATCACGACTGTCGGCGCCGAAAGAAAGCCTTTGAACACATTGAGTATCGTCTGTTTGGCGACAATTATTATCGAAAGTGTATTCGAGCATTTTTGTATGAAACAGCATTAAATCTATCGACAAGTGTTTTCGAACGGCGGGAGTCCAAAGGTAACAGTCGATTTGTCACACGAAAATACCAGGCGACGCGAACGACGAAATGCGACGTGCGACGCATGCACCGATGAAGTAACTTCAATAACGAATCGAACAAAAAACCCAAAGCTATCGCGTTGTCACGGTCGCGGCTGTGCCTGCGGCAAATCTGATACACTGTTCGAATACACCCGCATGTCGATCGAGACGAGTATGAAGACTGGCGTGGGCAATATACCGTCACTATTTGCATTCTCGCAGACGTATGCGAGAGATACATGAAGCATGATTTCTCGCATTCGTGTTTTCTCGCGTTCACTCGCTTCGTGCGGCTTCAAACAAACGCGGATCGCACCCTACTCCCTTCTTTCTCGGGTTTACGACACAAGAATTCTGCTCGCGTTAGCCCGCACTTTCTGCACTCCCACGCACTTTTTCTCCTCGCAGTGTGTACACAGCAGATAAAAAAGATATTTGCACAAGCGTCACTACTTTTTTTGGTGACAATTTTGTGTGAAAAGAAACGTTGCCAAGTAAAAATTCTTCTCTTGGATGCGCCGCACACATGGAAATAATATTTCCCGGTAAAACATTTTGTCGCAATATTTCTCTTTCCCGAGAGAAATAATTTCGAGAAGACATTCGGCGAATTGTATAACTACTTTCTGAACTCACTGTACCTGCGTCGTTTGTGGTGCAGAGGGTGTATCATAGTGCAGATGAGTAGAAGGCACCCAATTTTGATGTAACGTTTAACAAAATGCCAGCCAAGAGAGAGAAAACTTCGTTGTCTCTCGAGCTGACTCGAGAGAAAAGAGAGTGAGAGACAATGAGGAAGGAAGCAGGAAGGAAGAGAAAGAGAAGGAAACTAAGAGAACGTCTTACCTTGCAAACGACGGCGAAAGCATTGTCGCCAAGAATCGCGGATGCTTGATTATACACCTTGGACAGAGCCATTCGTTAAAAAAGCAGGTCGACGGTCACTGTCACTACCATCGCCGATAGCACCGTCGCTACTCGCCATCACCTTATCGCGACGATCAGTTGCAATCGCCCTTCTCGACTAGTCCCGATTGTGATTCCCGGCTACGTTTCCACCGTCGTCCACCACTATCGTTCGTTATTCACACCCGCTGCACACTATTCACACTGCTCACCGACACCCCACTGACCCACATGAATCTCATCTGAGTGTTCGAAACTTTCACTGTAGATAACACATGGCGAAATCGCATTTATCGACCGTCGCTTGTAAAGCATGTATTGGAGAAACAGAAATGCCTAACGTTTGTACCATCTGACTAAATATTTTACATATAAATCGTCCAACTTTTTAATTAAAATTTGTTCGAAATTTCAGCTTTTTTTATATAAATTACAGTTGAATTTCATGTACCTTTTTCAAAATAATCAAACAACATAATTCAAATCCTTTTATACCAATAATTTTCAGGTGTTTTGTCAAATTTATTATTAATCTTTGTTATTATCTTAAAAACATATATTTCTTATAATAATGAAGCTCATTTATACTATCTCTTACATCATGCATAGCTCTGTGATTATATTCTTTTTTTGGAGCTGCTCTATATATATCTGAATTCCACCTTCTGAAACAACCATTATCTACATAAATATAATTTGATAAATTACATCATAAAGGATTTACACTGATGTATGGATTATGATATAAATAACTATATACCTTGCTAATTCTCTGATTGTGCTAACATCAATGATTCTGTAATGTAAATAATCGTCAACTAATGGCATATATTTTTTTAGGAACATACGATCTATGTGAACTGAATTTCCTGCTAAAGGGCACATTTTATAAGGAATATGATTTTTCAGATATTGTAACATTATTTCCTTAGCCTCATTTAACATGATTTTACTTGACTGACAAGCAGCAACTAAACCAGTCTGAAATTAAAATTTTAATTAATTTAATAACATTCACATTACATACATGTATGTGTGTATATATATATATATATATATACACACATAAAATATTGCAACACTTCTATAAAATATACTGTTTAAAAAAAAATACAATTACCTTTTCATGTTGCACTTTGCACCAGTCTGTCATGTTTTCTAAGACTTCCTCTGGTTGATATATTACTATGCTTAAGTAATCATTCTTTGATACTAAATTCTCATCAGTTATTAAACAAGCAATTTCCAAAATATGACTGTTTTCTACATCTAGTCCTGTCATCTAAAAGATAAAATTGTTTCCGACTTTTTCCTCTATTGTTGGATCATTAGAAAATTCATAATTATATACCTCCATATCCAACCAGACCATATGTTTGTCTTTATTATCGTTTGGTATTGTCGATGAAGCTATCGCACGATCTATGTTAAAACACAAATATCCTTTGAGTATTATATAAATCTTGACTGACACAAGTTTACCTTACACAAAGCTGATAGATACATAAATAAGATATTTCAAGCCTCATAATCTGTTTTTATTTTCCTTTTTATTTAAAATTCACATATTATATCAATTTTACAATAATTTATAAATTATAAATCTGGAATAAATGTTGATTTAAACAGAAAATATATGAATAAGATATAGTGAATCTCGTGATCTTGATTTTTACGTAATCTTGGGTTTTACTTAACATATATTTTTTTATCATTTATACAATAATCAATTACCATTACGTAAAAAGTGCTGGGTTCCGCGATATAGATATTTAAAAAGATATTGAACACTTCGTGTAATATTCATATCGGTTTTCTTTAATTTTAACCTTATCGTACACACGTTGCAAATATACAAAAACAAAATTCGGAGGAACTGCCCTCTATCCAATACAGTGTGTGAAACAAATGGTCTGTTTTTTTCGATTGCACAACTGAACTGGGCCCTTAGGGTGCCTCCCCATGCAGCGTAACTTGCGTAAGCGTAATGGCTCCTGCACACAGGACGCGGTAATGCTTGCCGCGCGGCGGAAGTTCGCGCAATAGCCAATCAATATGCTGCTTTCCGTAATAATCTTCTAGCTCTTACGGAAAAACAACATATTGATTGGCTGTCGCGCGAACTTCCGCCGCGCGGCAAGCATTACCGCGTCCTATGTGCAGGAGCCATAACCTGCGTAATATAGCAATTTACTAGAAGTTACGCCATTTTGCAAGTCGACATTCAATACCTATGGCGCGTATTTCGTTAAATTCGCGTAAAGCGTAAATAATAACTTCCTGAAGCTAATCAATAAAAGATCAGGTTTTCTATTGTACAATGCAACAGAAATACTAAGTTGATTCTCGATTGGTTATTATTCTTTAGGCGTATTGTTAAATACGCGCCATGGGGATAAAGTACTTTACATGTAAGAATGTGTGAAAACGTTATGTGTGTAGCTGTACGATAAGGTTAAGATAGTAATTAATAACAACGTTGCCTACTGAAATGTGAAGATAGGGAAAATAATTTATTACTTTTGTTATATATTTAGTCCCTTTACTCTAAGAAAAACTGAATTTTTTAACTCTTTACTAGACTGTGTAAAATATATGTGACTCATTTTCTGACAGTTCGTAAAGGAGTGACATGCAGATTGATACACAAATGATTGGAAAATGTAATATATTTATGTTTCTGCGTTTTTAAAAAGGCGATACCAAAAATAAAAATGTAATCCCTCCATTATTACGAAGAACCGATTGGGATTGGTCGATTTCTTTACGCTTATGATTTAAGTTCTTACGGAATTTTGTGTGTGATGGTTTTAAATTAGAGTGAGAAAAAATATACTTGTCTCAATCTAACTTATTGCACCAGGGCCCTTATTCTTGAAATAGTTGCGTATACGTAAGTTTTACTGCGCAGCTGTTTTATGGTATGATTAAACCTGCGCAGTAAAACTTACGTATACGCAACTATTTCAAGAATAAGAGTGCCTCCCCATGCGGCGTAACTTGCGTAAGCATAACTTGCGCCAACCAATCACATCATCTCATTTAAGTACCAGTTTCCGCCTAGTTATTTTGTGCTCTTTACGCTATTTTCGTTACGCCAAATCTAATTTTTGGCTGTATTAGTAAGCGTATCTTTTAGTGTCGTTTGAACTAAAAGGTGTGATGAAGTGGATATTGTCACATATAAAAAGTTTTGCAAAGCAATAATAAGAAATGGATAAGGATCAAATCAGGGTTGTATTCAATCAATACAATACGTTTTGTTGATGAGTGTTATACCAGCTTAATATACCGTTGTTTGTATATATCGTCAATATTAAGATTATCTAATAGAAAGTTACTATTTAGTACGCGTATTAAGTGCACGATGTAAACCAAGCCAATAATTTAAAGTTTATCTCAAATATTCTTTACGATCGTTTCATTGGGTACGTTCAGCGAACTCAAGTTGCACAACAGTTGAGCAATTTGTCAATGGACGCGTTCAACGGAGAAAGCAATCAGTGAGCAATCAACGATTATTGGTTCTTACTGTTAGATCCCTAAATCTAGATCAATTATATTAACGAATTGCTCAACTGTTGTGCAACTGTTCAGTTCGCTGAACGCATCCAATGTAATTGGTCTAGATTTAGGGATCTAACAGTAAGAACCAATAATCGCTCAGTGAGCAATCTGTGATTATTGGTTTTTACTGTTAGATCCCTAAATCTAGACCATTACATTGACGAATTGCTCAACTGTTGTGCAACTACTGAGTTGCTGGACGCACCCATTGGCGAACCCAAATGTAAGATATATTTAAAACAACGGAAAATATGAATCAGATTATATGAATACCAGCTTATAATTAATAAATACAAAATTAGTTTTTGTAAAAAAAGTAATTTATTTATTCATTCATTTTAATATTTTCAAATACACACTACTCAATAAAAATATAATAAAATATACTTGAATAATACAAATGTATGGCTCTTTATTATCAAATAATGGATGCTTTTCATTTAATAACACAAGTTGTCACAAGCATCATCCTTAGTTACTACATATCTTAGTTACTCATTGAATATGAAACAAAGACAGAATGATGCTTGTGTCGACTTGTGTTATTAAATGAAAAGCACTCGCATATATAGTGCGGGTAAAGTTCATGAAAATATGAAATGTGCAGATGACGCATTATGGCTCTCGCAGACCAGCGCGATTTGCAACGCGACACGTGATGTGCGATGCGCGATATCCAATGAGCATATAGCTTTTCCGGAATACCAATACGTTCATTAGATCGCTCGTTGCATATCGTGTGTCGCGTCGCGCATCGCACTGGTCTGCGAGAGCCATTAGTTCTGATCTACAATAAGTGTAGTAAGCTTTCAGCCTTAAGGAATTGATCAATCACAGTGAAATTATAGAGAAATAATCAATTATGATTGGTTAATTTCTTATGACTTAAAGCTTACTACACCTATTGTAGATCGGGACTTAAACAATCATCTGTAAAGGTCGTTCTACATTAATTGCAACCCGATCGCAAGCAAACACAATTCTTATTGCGACAGCTAATCAGAAGCATCAATGGTGTTATTGACGCTTCTGATTGGCTGTCGCAACAAGAGTTGCAATCAACTTGCAATTAATGTAGAACAACCTTTAGACGCAGCGTCGCAGAAACTATAAAAATCGTTCGTAAATGGCGTTGAGATATTAAATTACTGGAAGCTATATGTTGAAGGAAGGAAAGATAAAGATCGTTCTACATTAATCGCAAGGTTGCAAGAAAATTGAACAATCATAGTTACTAGAGAATCTCAAGTAAAGAGAATCGCCAACTTGGCCAAGTAACCAGCTGATTGGCTAGCATAAATATATACGGATTTAGGTATTGCGACGCCAATGCAGACAAATCTTATATGTGTATATATATATGGTTTTGCATCGGCGTCGCATATCCAAATCCGTACATATTTATGCCAGCCAATCGCAAAGTAGCTGGTCATATAACCAAGGCTGCGTTCCGAAATTTACTGTCAGTACTGAAATTCTATAGTTTATGTCACGTATACTATAGAATTTCAGTACTGACAGTGAATTTCGGAACGCAGCCGAAGTTGGCGATTCTCTCTACTAGAAGGTTCTCTATCGATTACCCTTCGATCGCAAAGGAAATGATCAACTATGATTAGTCAATTTTCTTGCAACCTTGAGATTTGCGGCTAATGTAGGACAACCCTAATAAAGGGAATAACGTATATAACCAAACAATTAATTTCTTCATTTAGAAATTGATCATATTTGTAGTAATATCTATTAAAAACTAATTTCTTTAAATCATATTTATCCATAGTCAGCTATTTAGCTGTTTCTAAAAAATTGTATTTAACAATTAATTTAACAGAGAGAGAGAGAGAGAGAGAGAAAGAAAGAGAGAGAGAGAGAGAGAGAGAGAGAGAGAGAGAGAGAGAGAGAGAGAGAGAGAGAGA